CCGGTCAGCCAGGACTGTGCTGTTGCTGGAGGACTACATATCCCAGCATGGCGGGGGCTTCATGACAGGCTATGGGCTGGTAGCAGTTCAGCTGCTGGAAAGCCAAATGGGGGATGGGGGGTATCCAGGATGAAGCAGCATATAGGAGAATGCTATTTAACCCTTTTGCTACCAGGCCTGATCCTCAGGTGACCATTTTCTGCCATTTTTCACTTTTTATCCATTATCTTTTCACTATTTATGACTATGTAAGAGACCCCCAATCTGTACATTTTCTGAAAGTGTGGGACCGACCGGATAAAAAGACGGTGCCATTAATTTTGTAGGTCCTGCAATAGTTCCTCAAGTGTTTATCAAAACCACATTTTTGCTAAAATACACATAAATCATTATTAGAGCACACCAACAGAACACGGCGTACAACATGCCTACTACATATAACAAATAAAACTGTACAGCCAGGGTGGGCGAACAATGAGCATCTAGCTGTTGTGGAACTACAAGTCCCATGAGGCATTGCAAGATTTTGCCAGGCACAGGCTTGACTCCCAGTGACAGATGCATGATGGGATTTGTTGTGTCACCACAGCTAGAGGGCTGGAGTTTGCCTACCCCTGATGTATTGAGTTAAAGTGACACTAAACTCAGCAGTTCAATCTTAAAAATACATTCAAGCACCTTTTTACTATGAACAATAATGGGGTGGGGGGGGGGATTTATCAAAACTGGAACAGAGAGAATCAGGAGCAGTTGTGCATGGCGACCAATCAGCTTCTCTCTTCAGTGTGTTCATTTAAGATTTGAAAATGTAACAGAGAAGCTGATTGGTTGCCATGCACAGCTGCTTCAGATTTTGTCTGCTCCAGTTTTGATGAATTCACTTCAATGCATCTCTTTTGTGTATCCTCAAATCATCTCTGAATTGGTGCTGACACTATATCCTTCCTTCTGGAAGGTGGCTACTTTTGTTCCCCATGGTCCCTGTGTGTGTTGTAAAGTAGCAGTACATGGCAACCAATCAGCTTCTCTTCAGTTTGTTCAGTTAAGATTTGAAAATGAAAAAGAGAAGCTGATTGGTTGCCATGCACAGCTGCTCCAGCTTCTGTCTGCTCCAATTTTGATCAATTCCCTTCAGTGTTCTGTATAGTAAGGAGCTCATCCCTGGAGGTAGAATAGAGCCTAGCCTCAGGCATAGGTTGGATCAGGTAACTGTATTACAAATGATCACATCATCCACCTGCACTCTCGTGTCACCCTAGTGTTGTGCAGACTCGGCGTTTCCTTATCTTGGAGTAATGATCGACCAGCAAAATCCAGCTCAGACCTAAGTGCTTTTAATCTGATTGTGTGACAATCAGTGATTTGCTGTTCTGGGTATCGGAGGAGGTGTGTAGCTTCTTTACTCTTCCCTTCCCCCTATCGAGAGTGCGTTGTCACACAGAGGCTGCCATTGATTGCTCATATTTCACATGACAAAGCAGATGGTCTTTGTAGCCTGTTATGTTGTCCCTTTTTATATGGAGACTACACACCACATGAGTTTCATCAGTGATAACCAATCGTCTCGCACACATGAACCAACCGGCGTCATTCTGATGCTGCCAACCCCAGTTAGTGACATACGCTGGTCCGAAGTTCAGACTTTGATACCTGTGTACTAGTAAAGACAGGATTAGGATGACGGACCGACGCTTGCACCTTTCAAAAGTAGTCGCCAATGACGGCTCCCATAGTTCTACTCTTACATTTTGTTTTTGTTGGAACATAAGCCTTGGAAATCATAGGCCCCTTTTCACACGGGCTTATCAGGAGGGGGGATCTGTGCCATGGGTCCCTTGCTGATCGAAGCAATAGGGATCAGATGTCTCCGCTGTGGCGTTCATGTCTGTCCAGTTTTTTCCTCTATCTTGCAATTGGAGGGAAAAACTGGAGTGACAGGACCCCATGTTGGCCTATAGGGAGTCGGATGTAAACAGACATGTCAGTTTACATCAGATTACCCCTGATCCGGCACCATCAGATCTGGCGAAATGGATCTCTGATTGGTTTGCTTTTCTGGACCTGGCCGGAGTCGGGGTAACCGGTTGTAATCAGACGTCCGTCCGTTTACACAAGGCTGCCCATACATTTATATTGGGCATCCGATCGGGTCTGCTTGCAAAACTGACAGGCGGACCCGATTTGGATCGCTCTTGTGAAAGGAACCTCAACTTTTCGCACCAGGTGTTTGGGTTTTCATCCAGGCACCTGTCCACCCTGAATAACATGAGTGGAATTAAGAAAAAGTGTCTGACACAAGTTCTATATTGGTGCCGTTGCCCGTAGTGAGCGATCTTCTTCTTTTTTTTCATACAGGTTAGAAAATGACAATTTAAATGCTGATTGGCTGCGCTCCAGTTAAGATGAAGTTTTCATTATTTCCTTCCCTACGTGTCAGAAATCTGGTGACCTGAAAATTCCCTTCTCTTACCTGCTTTAAAGTGACACTAAACACAGGAGCTAAATCTTAAAAATACATTCAAGAACCTTAACTATTAACAGAAATGTATCTTATTTGTGTATCACTCGGCTGTAGATCCTCAAATCATCTCTGAATTGGTGCTGACACTGTCCTTCCTTCTGGAGGGGGGGGGCTACTTTTGTTCCCCATGGTCCCTGTGTGTGTTGTAAAGTAGTCACCGCTCCAAGCTCACTCCTGTGATGGACTACAATCTCATGTTTAGTTCACTAATTTGTATTAGGATTATAGTCCATCACAGGAGCGTGCTTGGAGCGGTGACTACTTTACAACACACACAGGGACCATGGGGAACAAAAGTAGCCCCCCTCCAGAAGGAAGGACAGTGTCAGCACCAATTCAGAGATGATTTGAGGGTCTACAGCTGAGTGATACACAAATAAGATAAATTTCTGTTAATAGTTAAGGTGCTTGAATGTATTTGTAAGAGTAACTCCTGAGTCTAGTGTCACTTTAGGGGCAAACTCCAGCTCTGTAGCTGTGGCAAAACAACAAATCCCATCATGTCTCTGCGAGTCATGCTTGTGGCTGTCAAGAGTCTTGCAATGCATTATTTTTAAGACTTAACTCCTGAGTTTACTGTCACTTTAATGTCGCGGATGTATTTTAAAACACCCAACTGGGGCTTCTTGCTTTTTCTCACAAATAAATCTAATGTATCAAACTGACTGTGCTAACAGTTTTGTCACAGAAACTGATCAAACCGGTCTTCTTTTTGCTGCTGATTTATAATCTGTTTGTTTAACAAGTCCTTTTTGTTTTTCTTTTAGCACAAGTCTTCAGTCTTTACCAACAGTGAAATATTGTATGACCCCCTTTTAGTAATGGGTCTGATTGTCTTAAGATGCTATTGTGGTAAATGATTTGTTAGTTTTGATGGACATTGACTGCAGTTATAAATGTGCCTTTTTTTTTTCTTTGCAGAGGGATTGCATATGTAAGTATATGATCCCAAATGCGCACTGTGCCATTGATGTGGCCAGAATAAAGGCAGAGGATGCATTTGTAACTGCAGAACCGTCAGCAACTCAACACATAAGTAAAGACACACCATTAGGACACTCCTTTTCCTTTTCCTAATGCAATTTATTTAGGATTATTCGCTTTAAGATGGCCATACCCCTATCGATTTTTTTTTTTTTTCGGTCAACCCGCGGGCTGCACTAAAAAAATTCAGAAATCAAAAGATCTCGCTGCACTCCTTACCGAAGTATCAAAAAGACCCGTTCGGACGGGTGGGTGCTTGTAGTGGCCACGGATGGCACTGTGAAAAGATCAGATAGAAAATAACGTCACCAGCAATCCAAAGGATAATTGGCACATTGCCATTCAAATGCTATTTGAATGGCAATGTGCCAATAAATGGACTATTGCTTGATTGCCATTCCAGCACTCCAAAGGATAATGTGCCAATAAATGGACTATTGCTTGATTATCCTTTTGGAGTGCTGGTGACGTTATTTTCTATCTGCACTAAAAAAATTGACGCAATTCCTCAAACACAAACAGCTTGTCGATTTGAGGAATCCCGCTGTTTACATTGTATTCTGACAGGTGCCGCCGCCACCTGTCAAAATACCCGATCAGAGCGGGCAGCTCATCGGCTGCCGGCTCTGATCGTATAAAGATTTTCCAGCCGGCTCCTTCCATCAGCTGATTGTGGAATGCCGGCTGAAAGGGAGCCGACAGCCCCACACACTGTGGCGAAATTCGGCCAGTGTACGGGCACCTTTCGAGTGTGAATATTACCACTGAGCTATCGGGTTATGTGCAGCTTTCACCCTGTGGTTACTGACAGCTTTTATACTTCATTACATTGCATGTAGAACCCAAGCTTGTCTTGTTTCAAATAGAGGATTATAACCCTTGCCAAGTTTTATCGCTGCTTTTGTCCCTGTTGGGGATATTCACCCTCTTAATTTGTCCTGCTGACCATTGTCGGAGACAGAAAAGAGAAATTAAAAACTTAAAATTTGTCACTGAAACAGGATTCATATTTTTAGGGGACACCAGCATCGGTGACAGCTGGCTAAGAAGAAATTTCTTTTAACGTTGTAGAGAGATTTCCCCTCACTTGTGTTGCATGTCTGGGACAGGAAGTGATATAAACACTCCCTAACGGAATACACAGCAAAAAAAAAACGAATGAGTTTTAACCCTTCCCTACTCTATCCAAAGCTGTAAAAAGGTTTGGCTATACATAGTTGAAAATAAGAAATGCCTCGTGCTGGTTGTTTCAACTGTTTTCTCCCGGTGTGTTTTCAGTCGTGCTTTGACTGTGGAGCGAAGAACCCCAGCTGGGCCAGCATCCCCTATGGAGTGTTTCTATGCATTGACTGCTCTGGAATACATCGATCCCTGGGAGTTCATCTCAGCTTCATCAGGTGGGTGATAGGCAGGTGGTAAACCAGAGATGAGAAAAGCGTCAATTTGCTATTGAAGGTATTAAGAAGCACCTGTAATGCAGCAGCAAACCTGTAACTGTTCAAGAAGATTTATAGATTATACAGACTAGACCTTTGTGCTTTCATACTGTCAGGCACCAAATGGCAATTGCACATGTCTTTTAGAGGCATTCTGCAAGCCAAATGTCAAACTCCCGGATTGCAAATATCAACAAGTTTCTGCACTACTTAGTAGTGTTGAGTGCTTTCCCTGCTCCCTTCTGCTAGGTTCTGTTGGCCCATCCTTTTGATAGGCAGCCTCACTGGTCAATAGGGGCATACCAAAGGTTGCAGAACCAGTGCTGCACAGTGCAAGGTGTTAAAAGTAGCCAGAAGCCCAGGATTCGGGACAGAATAATGCTTCTGAATATACAGGTGCCATACGGTGCACAAGTAGGAGTTCTGTGTACTTTAAAGTTCAGCTGCCTTTTAGCACCTCAGAAAGTCATTTTAGGTTAGCGATGCTCAATCGTATCCAAACCCCTAAAACTCAAGTAAAATATATTTCAGATTACCAATCCTTAAATGTGGTGGCCGCGATTTTTTTTCTTTTTCACCTGTTGATCTGCCAGGAACACACTACCTATCTTAGGGTGACTCCACTCTATGAAGGAGCAAGGGAGCCACCCTGAGACAGCAGCTTTGTCAGCCTGTGTGGAGGGTACTGGTAGATGGAATACAAATTTTAGACGAACTTGACTAACAAATTGAATCCTAACTCCATCTAACACTTTTGAGTTACCGTAGCTGTTTTTTTTTTTCTCTTTTGGGGATAAAGTTTTTACAAAAACTAATAAAAGTAACCATAGTACACAACCTTTGTGAACAAAAAATCTAATGCAGCCACCACATTTAAGGATTGCGAAGTGCCAAAATAAAAACATTTTTTTATTTGGGTTGAGATACGCTTCATCCCGGCCCCGAATGTCAATGCCCCAATTTCAAGGGACTCCGGCTGTTAACAGCATAACTTCTAATAGATATATATTTATAAGTATCTGAGAGCTTCATTTGTATGCAGACTGGGTCTAATATCCTTCCCAAATATCATAAAGTCTTCATCATTTGAGAATGGGGGGAGAATAGACACTATAGAAACAATTTATAAACTTTGGTTAGAGTTACCACTGAGCCACTGTGTTGTTCAATTTACATAAATGAAAGCAATGCTGACTTGTGTCTCTCCTTCAGGTCCACTGAACTGGATTGTAATTGGAGCTGGTATCAACTGAGGTGCATGCAAGTTGGAGGCAATGCCAATGCTGTGAGTAACCACTAGCAACAGCCTTCTTTTATTATGTACATGCTCATTTTTTTTTTTTTTATGTTCAACACAACCTGTCGCAAGTCTGGTAATTTTAAACTGTGTGTGCGCAAGCATAAGCAGAGATTACTGTCGGAAAGAAAACATATCAATACAATCGGTAGTCCTGAAAATACAGGCAGCTGATATTACTTGCAAATCTTTTGACCTTGCCCCTCCACTTCCTGTGCCTTCCTACTGGTTGTATAATGTGATGGGCAGCCTCACTGACTAGTGGGGAAGAGCTTAAAGCTCAGTTGAGGTTACAGAAGTAACTGTCGTGGTGGTGCTGTTACTCGTCTATGCCAGCATAGAGCACTGGAGTAGTAGGGGGGGAAAGCACATATACACCTGCTTACACTAGCTCATCCTCTGAAATGCTGCATTTCAGCAGACAGGCTAGTGCTTTGTGACGGCTCCGGTGCTGTGCAATGTATTGCAAACTGCCACTCCTATCACTCTTTACATTTTCTTTTCAACTTTATTGGTAGTGTACACTCCATTCAGGTCCTCCCATGCCGTGTGGTGACCGGCGATAGGATCCAGTGTGCGGTGTTAAAATACAGTATCGCAGCGGCCCGCCCATCTCACCTGCCTTGTGTGAATGGGACACATAGGACACACAAAAAAAACAATTGTTTTCTATCATTGACCTGCGATTCGGTGCAGTACAGTGCAGGTGATCACTGATTCTGAATGGGCCCTAAAAGAAAAAAGAAAAAAGATATGTTAAGACCTTTCCAGAAGAAAAGCAGTTAGAAATTATGATAATTTGTTGTAAATTACACTATTAATGATGTGGTTGTAAATTAAAGAAAAAAAAAAAAAGAAATGATAATATAAGGTGTAATGAGATCATAAACACAAAAGACTTTAATTAGGTCCTAAATGTTACAGTAAAATGTGACTTGGCTATATAAGGTTATTTTCTAATCATGTCTCCAGATCTACAGATACATTTGATATACATTTTGTACTGAAGGTAACATCTGCTATACTATACATTTGTATTTGTTTTTTATCATGAGCTAGGTGAAATTTCCTAGGGTTGCAATATCATTGTAACTTGTTCCCTTTTCTTTAAAAAAAAAAAAATCCTGCTGCAGAATGCTTTCTTCCACAAGCATGGCTGTACCACTAATGACACCAATGCCAAGTACAACAGTCGCAGTGCTCAGATGTATCGGGAGAAGATCCGGCAACTGGCCAGCGCAGCCATGTCTAAACATGGCACAGACGTGAGTATCTCTAATGGGATTGATGCTCCACCGTAATTTTCCTATGGCTTTCATTCTGCTGTGCATGATAGTATAACAGGAACATGTCACTGGAGTACAAAGTGCATATATGTACATGAAATGAAAACAGACACAGGTCAGCTTGCTTTTTTTGTACTATCCTCCTGGTGCCTCAGAACTGTGTGTGCTTTCATTACTTGACTGATCCAGTGTTATACTATTGGTCACTCCACCCTTGAACCTCTGTACATTCAAGTCATGTCACAGCAAGCTAAGGTACAGAGTGGTGATTGTTTTTTTTCAGTATACAGCTTAGTAGAACCAGAGGCTGCAGATGCTTGTGCAGTGGAAATGATCATAAAAGTTTGTTTAGTGGAAAGTCTAATGAAACACTTACTGTTTACAGTGTGGGCCTTACCCTTGTTCTTCGTCAATGTAAATACAAATAAGCTTGTCCTGGAAAGAACGTGAACACTGTTTGTGGACTCTTTCTTCTAGCTATGGATAGATGGAATGCATTGCACCCTTACTAGTTCCCCAGAGAGGAAGGAGTCAGACTTCTTTGCTGAACTAACCCAGGTATGTCTTGTCATGAAGCAAACACGTGTGTACATGAAGAATAGTGAATTGCTGGCTGGATAGAAGAGGTACCCACACATGCCATCGGACCACCTCCAAAGTGCATCAGTAGTCCTAAATCCCCGGTTGTTGTAATATATTTCTATTGGGCTTGATCTCCTGATGCCTGCACTTTTCATCTATCTGGCAGCTTAATACTTTCCATATGTGTTCTCTGTAAAATGCTGAATTATCTTTTGCTAGGGTTATCCAGGTGTGGTCAAAGCCAGTAATGATCCCTAAACAGGTTTCAGGATTTAGCAAACTACCCATGATGATTTTCATTGATCTGATGAATAATTATTGGATTGCTGAATGGTCATATGTCTTGACTTCTCTATCGCTTGCAATTACCTCCTAATCATTTGAAATGCAGGGATAAAATGGAGTAGATTCACAACAACCACTATTGTTTCTCCGACTGGAATCAACATCAAAGTGCTGGTACCTTGTGCGACCTGCAAATAACTGTGTTCATCTTCAAATTGATTCCTGTGGAAGCAATTTGGATCCTGGTTCCCGACTGTACACCGCATGGTGAATGATGGGGACCCTAGGCTCGTACTGTACACCGCATTGTGAATGATGGTGATTACCGGCCTGGGCTGTACTTGGCATGGTAAGTGATGGGAATCCTAGTCCCAGGCTGTGCACTGCATGATGGGGATGACAGGCCTGTACTGTACACCGTATGGTGAATAATAATGAGTCTAGCTGTGTCATCTTGCTATTTGTATTCAAGTGAAAAATAAATGAAAAAATTAATGGATAAGATGAATAAAAATTCATAAATTAGTGTAAAATATGTATAATAAATTATTATAAATAATAAACTGTGTCTTTGTTTTGTTCAGTATTTGGTTAGTACAAAATGTGATATTTAAAACAGTATTCTGTGATTAAACGCTCAATCCCACGTCTATATGGATTGCATGTACATTCAGATTCAAAAGGTTGATCTCATCATTCGATTGGTTGATTACAATTACACAGCTATTCGATTCAAAATAGCTCACATAAAACCATTTATCATCGCCCCAAAACGAAAAAAGCAAAAAGGAAAGCAGTGTCTCCATATAAGGCGTGGATTAGGGTTACGCCAACGATTCTTTCAATCACCAAGGCATTTAACTCTTTCACTCAGAGGAAAAAATGAATGAAAACCAAAAGAAAGGAAACCCAAAAATAACAAAGAAAAAAGTGTCTATTACTTTGTCTTCAATCCATAAGTCCTCAAAAATCTTTATATTTCTCTCTCTCCTCCGAACGGTCAGCACACGGTTCTGATGCCGGTGTCGAACGCCCAGCCGAGCGAGGAAGACGGGAAAAAGGACACGAGAGAAAGCAGATCTAAGTGTAGTCACGAAAGTCCTTTATTCCAAATATAAATGATTACACTTACGAAATGGGTTGAGTAAAAATCGCATGTGGGTGTAAACGGCGCCCAGCCTTTGAAGGTTTATCCAGTATGTCAGGAAGGAAGCAGTGGGTCCCCTTGACGCGTTTCGTCAATCTTTGACTTTTTCAAAAGGGTATATCATATACCCTTTTGAAAAAGTCAAAGATTGACATACCGGATAAACCTTCAAAGGCTGGGCGCCATTTACACCCACATGCGATTTTTACTCAACCCATTTCGTAAGTGTAATCATTTATATTTGGAATAAAGGACTTTCGTGACTACACTTAGATCTGCTTTCTCTCATGTCCTTTTTCCTGTCTTCCTCGCTCGGCTGGGCTGCCCCTGGAGGGCGTTCGACACCGGCATCAGAACCGTGTGCTTACCGTTCGGAGGAGAGAGGGAAATATAAAGATTTTTGAGGACTTATGGATTGAAGACAAAGAATTAGACACTTTTTTCTTTGTTATTTTTGGGTTTCCTTTCTTTTGGTTTTCATTCATTTTTTCCTCTGAGTGAAAGAGTTAAATGCCTTGGTGATTGAAAGAATCGTTGGCGTAACCCTAATCCACGCCTTATATGGAGACACTGCTTTCCTTTTTGCTTTTTTCGTTTTGGGGCGATGATAAATGGTTTTATGTGAGCTATTTTGAATCGAATAGCTGTGTAATTGTAATCAACCAATCGAATGATGAGATCAACCTTTTGAATCTGAATGTACATGCAATCCATATAGACGTGGGATTGAGCGTTTAATCACAGAATACTGTTTTAAATATCACATTTTGTACTAACCAAATACTGAACAAAACAAAGACACAGTTTATTATTTATAATTATTTATTATACATATTTTACACTAATTTATGAATTTTTTATTCATCTTATCCATTAATTTTTTCATTTATTTTTCACTTGAATACAAATAGCAAGATGACACAGTAAGAACATTGCTCACTACCAAGCGCAACATAATTGCTCACATTGATCACGGTTATACACATTGTTGCAGCTGGTGTTTTCCCATATATTTTTTCCAGCGCAACTAAATCGGTTAAAATAATGAGTCTAGGTCCAAGTTGTACAAATTAGGCAAAAGTCGTTCCTTTAAAAGAGAACTATGGCCTAACCTTTTTTGGTCATAGTTCTCATCATGCTAACAGGAGGACATATACTAATGTCCTCCTGTGACCCAAAATAATATTGTCGGGGCCCACCCTGCTGGCTGATTTAACAGCTGTCTCTGCCTCTTCAGAGGCAGAGCCAGCTGTCCCTTCCCCCTCCCCTGTCTGATCCTCCACTCAGCGCTGGAGGATCGGAGAGGGTGAATCCCTGGGGGGAGCGGTGATTGACACTCACGGCTCTCTGCAGGGACACGATCGGGAAGTGAGCAAGCGACCGTATGTGTTCGCTCACTTCCCAATCAATAGAGCTGACGTGTGACAGGTTCTTTGTCACAGGTCGGCTCTAACTATGAGGATGAGTGAAAATCACTCGCCTCATAGTTCTCCTTTACTGAGAATTGCATTATTTTGGTGTTATAACTACTTTGTAATGAACTGTGTATTTTATCTCACAGTTAATGTGTTCTCACACTCAGATATTTTATTTCAGTTTTCCAGTACATGGGAGGCAACTCCTGTTGCTGAGCCAACAGCTGTGACAAGTCCTTCTGCTGCAAAAGAGGTGACCAGTGCCCCTGTGAGCAGTGAGCCAATAGGTGAGTGTTCGCTGTTCCTTTTAGTTTTGGAAGTGAGGTGACCGAGTTCTCATGTAACACTCATTGCTCTGTCTGCAGGTGTGGAGACTGGCCCCAGTATTGACATTCTGAGCACGTCACCCATAGCCACAGTTGGTAAGTCTATCGATAAATGTTAGTTGTTCCGAATCCTTTTTCTTTCTAACATGCTCAATTTTATGAGCTAGCTAAATGCGCTGTGGATAATATAGAACCCTTTCCCCAGTGATAATAGAGAACACTTCTGTGATAATACACAGGATCTAGTTTCTGTCCTGTCCTACTGAAAAGGCTTGATTACTGGTTGCGATGTGAATCCATTGGTTTCCATACTTTGAGTCACCGACCAGGAACAATTGCAGATCAGGATTTCCAACTTCACTGATTGTGTTCTTATTTTGGGTCAGAGATTTAGAGGGGCCACTATAATAGCCAGGCAGCTAGTATTTTCATGAGGTGGCTACATGTTTTCTCAGCACAGTATGTGATGGAAACATGCAAAGGCAGAATTTGTCTGCATGTCAGAATTCTCAGTAGATCCAGAGGCATTGGCTGCTGGAGTTCTATGCAAAACTAAGCTTGTTCTGTGAAAGTCAACCTTTGGCCCCATTTTTACACAGTACCTTGTTGGATGATTTTCTTGACTGATGGTCCTTTCTGATGTAACATGAACTTTAGACAAAGCTGCATACAAAAAATATTGGGCGTCTCCTAAAATAGATATTGCCCATAGTAAGCTTTTAGTTTTCTAGCACATGTTTTTCTAAATTAAGACATCTTATTTGCCACTATTGGCAACAACTCCTTGTTTTGCATCTCTTCTTTCAATAAGTTGTCAGACTGTAATTCAGCTACTTATACTTACCGTCCCCTGTTACTTTGTCTGGACACGGGAACAAAGATGAGAAACCCATTGTAAATTATCAATCTTGTTGGAGCTTAGACAGGGCTCAGGACTCCCCCCCCCATACTGGACAGCACTCGGTCTTGGCAATTTGACTGCTCAGGTACCCTGTTTCCCCGAAAATAAGACCTAGTACTATTTTTGGGAATTGCTAAATTTTAAGACCTTCCCCCGAAAATAAGACCTAATTGTGACCTTTCCCAGGGCCGGTGGTGGCATAAGGGGGAACTTAAAGAGCCGCGGGAGAGAATTGGCGATGCCAGCGCTAGAGGAAGCGAGGCGGCAGCGGAGGAAGCAGAGCCGCATAAGCCGATGCCTCCTCTATAGCGTCGGCTCCTGTCACAGGCGGAGTGATACCAAATGCACTCTGCCTGTGAGGAATCCATAGTGAAAGTGCACTTCGCTCATTCTTACCAAATTGCTCTTGGAAAGGTACGGCACCCCTGATTGCCCTGATCACCCTATTCTTTGCCATTTTTGATTATTTAATTTGGATTTGCATTAATTTTGGATTGTTGTACATTAAAAAAAAATAAGACCTACCCTGAAAATAAGACCTAGTGTGTTTGTTTGTTTGTTTTTTTTGAGCCAAACAAAAAAAAATAAGACCGTGTCTTATTTTCGGGGAAACACGGTACTCGGTGTGTATCGTGGAAGGAAAGGAAAGAGCTGAATGCAGCTAAAAGTACCATATTTTTATTTTCTTTTAACTCCAGGCAGGGGATGTTCAGTGTGGGATGGGTATTTTAAAGCGGAAGTAAACTTCATGCTGTCCTCTTTTGCTCTGTCTTTTTCCGGATGCAGGATCTTCAGGCCATCTTAATTTCATGCACGCAGGAATTCGTTTATTCGGACGCCGAGGTATTCCAAGAATGTACACTGAGCTATACAGCTCGGTGTACATTCTAAAGAAGGTTATACGCAGGCAGGCAAGTTTTTCATTGCAGAGACATAGCATATCTCTTCTGCCTGCTTGTGATGTTTTTTTTTTTAATTGCTTAGTTAACATCTGCTTTAAGTCCCCTTTCACATGAGCGGATGCCCAAACAAAGACTTAATCGGATGCCCAATGGAACACTTTGGACAGCAAGGTCTAAATGGACGGGCGTCCGTTTTTTTTCCCCATTACCCCTGACTCCGACCAGGTCCATAAAAACAAAGGGAACAGAGTTCTGTTTCGCCGGACCTGATCATGCCGGATCAGGGGTAATCTAATGTAAACAGACACGTGTCTGTTTACATGCGGCTCCCCATAGACCAACATGAGGTCCAGCAGTTTTAGTTCCTCCATCCAAAGAGTGAGTAAAAAATAACTGGATAGACACAGATGTCACAGCGTGACATCAAATCTGTACTGCTCTGTTCAGAAGGGGAACTGTGCATGGATCCCATCCTGATCAGCCCGTGTGGAAGGGCCCCAAGCGAATCTGTTGCTTTGCGCTGCCATTTTCTGAAATCTAATAGCACTTTCCAAGAGAAAATTTGTACCCTTTTCAAACTCTTTCTAGTATTCAACATTTACATTGCTGCCATTTTACATTGCTGCCATGCCAGTCATCATGTCTTTGTTACAATATAAGGATGTGTGTAAATATGAGGCGGTTAGCATTGCTGCGTCACTTTTTTGTTCGGTAGCTTGTGTGTGTTTTTCCTTTCTCAAATATGTTTACAGTGAGGAAAAAGCATTACAGCAGACCTGCAGCACCTGTAACCCCCTTGCTGTTAGCTTTATAAACTGGTGACGTTTTGTACTTGTTATCTTATTGAACTTTTTTCTTTTTATATTCTTTCTGAGCAGTTGCATATGTCAAAACCATGAAGCGGGAACAAAGGAGTATTTTCTGCTCCTGAAATCCCAGGCACATCTGTGCTGTTTTTTCCTCTGTTACTTCTGTTTGTGTTTTTTAAATTTTTTTGTACTGCGGTGGTAACTTCGTCGGCCTCAAAGGAAGATGGCATAGAAAATACATCGGGGGGGGGAATTTATCAAAACTGGAGCAGACAGAATTCTGGAGCAGTTGATGGATTTGATGGATAAACAGACCCTAGGGCCTCTGATATCCACATTAAACTTTAACTGTCTATACTAGATAAAGGGGAGATGTATTAGGTTTCTGTTAAAGCGGATCTTTACCCATATCTTTAAAATAACAACAAACACACCTTTTTAGAAATGTTTAGTAACGACAATCTACAATCACATACTTCTAGATATTCTTTGCATTCCTTATTTCGGTTTCCATCCCCAGTCTTCTGACAGTGGCCATGTTTACTAAGGGCAGGTTAATATAGCTCCCTTTACTTCCTGGAACTCTGGCACATGTGACTAGGACATGTGACCATGCACATCATCTCAGGGGAGGAAAATGCCTTTCACTGAGATGAGATTTCCCAGCAATACTCCGCTGATGACAAGGCAATCCCAGTGTGCATTGCTTTGGCAAACTGATGTCATTTTCCCTTTCAAAGCAGGAAGTGAATGCTCTGCAAGTGTAAGTATTTCACAATCGCAGCATTTTACTCCTGACATGTGTATGTTGTTATTAATCATCATACATACACACACAATAATTCAAACCACCTTGACCTGACCGATCAAAATGTTAGTGTGTGTAAGCAGATGTGACTGGCCATAAAATGTACTTCAACTGAGGCCTTATATTATGCCTGTAGCTCATGTGACAGCTAAACCCATATGTTCCTTTCTCCTCAGACCGGGCCATGTGCCTCTCTGCTCAAGAGCCGCCCCCCAGCACAGGTGACCAGATTGTGACTGGCTCGCTCTGGCTGCTGTGTGCTTGGCATGCCTTTGCAATTTGTTATACCAAAGATGCTGAAGTCTAGACTTGCTTCACAGGAAGGAGTCTTTTGTAGTTGCTGTAGTTATCGGTGCTTCCTGCGGTGCAGTCCAGTGTAATAATGACTTGGAGGCTCTGTCATAAAAAAAGAACAAAAAAAAGTATAACAAGCACCGAGAGGTTCCTGCTCTTGCCTGCAGCAGTCTCCAGATCCCTTGTTATTCTGACTGGCAAAGCTTCAACACGAATGTGGACGGCCCTTGCCTGCCACTTACTGCATATTCCTGTTGATCAGTAAGGCAGTCTAATCTAGTGATGGGCCAATAGGAATGTGGGGAGGTAGCAGCAAGCTCAAAGACTACCCAGTCTACCCAGGAGCTTTACCTGTCAGAACTGCCTGGCATTTGGCCATAACAGCAGAATTATTGAAGGATTTGGCCGATATTTTAAGGCATCCCTGGGTGCTTGCACTAAATGCTTGCAGAATTTTCCACCCTCATCTTCCCCCTCATCTTCCCCCTCATCTTCCCCCTCATCTTCCCCCTCATCTTCCCCCTCATATGTACAAAGGCTAGAACTGCACCTAATTGGAGATCATTAAACTTAAAATACAAATGTGCATGTATGAAGGAGAGCTTGTGAGTGCTTTCAGAATGATGTAAGTGTTCCTTCTTTTGTGTATAAGTGCAGTCTACTAGGTATCTTAGGCTAATTTAGGCTTAATGAAGACTGGCCTGCAAGGGTTTTCCTGCACAGGAAGATAACGTTATGTAGTAAAATCTTTTCCCCAAGGACCCTGGAATGTACTCTCTATTCTCTAAACCCCTTGGTGACAGTTGATTGTTTATGTAAACCAGGTTGTACGTTTGCTTTACTGGCCCTTTAATTAAAGTCACTATTGCTGCAATGGAGTCAGCCATTTGTATCCCAATGATGTAAAGACTATGTTCAGCGACTTGCCTCTCTGTAGACTCCTTTTTTTATAGGTTTCTGGTGAACTAACTTCAAATTGTCTCTGGCACAGGGTACACTGCTGTGCTGTGGGGCTCTGCCACTTTCTTGCTAACACCTGATGCATGTGCACTGCAGTTCTTTCCTATGTCTGCAAATCTTTTTATTTTCTAGAGGTGAAACCATGTCTCATTGGAAAGAAGAAGCCTGCTGCGGCAAAGAAAGGAGTGAGTATATGTCATTTAAAAGGTCTATTGATTTCATATGAATGCTGCAGCAAGCAGCGATAGACAGTAACTCAGTCAACTGAAGATGTGACACTTAAGCTGGCCTTACACTGTAATATTTTCTTTGGTCAACCCGCGGGCTGAACAAGGAAATTGTTACAGATTCCTCCAACACTTATGAACATTGATCAAGGAATCTCCTGTTGTATTCTGACAGCGGCCGTTGTCATAATACCCGAGCAGAGGCGGCAGTTCGCAGATTTCCCAGCTGGCTCCTTTCATCAAGTGATCGAGGGATGTCGGCCGTAAGGGTGTCGACAGTGGCACCCAATGTGCAAAATTTGCACAGTGTATGGCCACCTTTAGTTAGTCAACACTATTTTGTGGCTCTGGCTTACTGCACACCAGTGTTCATTCTGTGTTATCTCTGTATCTGGTTCTTGCTCAGAACCGTTCTCACAACATTTTGTCTTGCAGCTAGGGGCTAAGAAAGGTCTTGGTGCCCAGAAGGTGAGCAGCCAAAGCTTCAGTGAAATTGAGCGACAGGCCCAGGTGGCAGAAAAGATGAGAGAGCAGCAAGTGGCTGAACTGAGGAAAGAAGCAGAAGAGTCCCTGTAAGTATTTGATTTACTTTATAGTATTAATACATTGTGCATATAAATAACACTGGATTTAAACTGTAACAAAAGTCAGCTTGTTTAAAGTGTATTTACACACTATGTATACACCATGTCCATTTTATGTGTTATTTATTCAGGTATATCACCGTATCTGAATCAAGATCCAATGTTTGCCTGTTGAAATATGTTGAAAGGGCCAACATTTTCAGTGGGGTGTACTTAGTTTTTTTACATGACTGGTAGGTTCAAAGTTTTTAGCAGTGCGTGAAAAGAGCAATAGACTCCGACATAAACAAAAAAGAATATAGCTATTAAAACTGTTGCATATAAAAAAAGCAAACAATTTATCTGCTATTGTGTTCCCTATACACTGAGGACCCCTTGCATATCCTGTACTTTTGTATCGATGACCTTCAGTTATATATACTGCACTTTTCAGTAATTGCGGCACAAAGCTAAATGTATATGGGCATTACCTCTAATATACCTTACGGGCAGTATTTTATCATATGTTCTTAACCAAGCACAACTGAACAAACAAGGTTCTCAACCAATTATCAGTGATAAAGAAGCATGGCTGTTTGATCTACTGTACATACATACATACATACATACATACATACATACATACATACATACATAGTCACTTCATTTGCAAGGTATACATTCTAAGTGTGCTCTTGGTTTGCTTTAATTGGTGAGCCATTGTGTACTTTAGCACTCTTCTCCCTGTCTTAACTAATGAAATGATTTATTAGGAAGCTGTTTCACTTCCAAGACACACTTTTTTTGATATACATAAAGACTTGGGTTCACTATTCGAACATCATATAGCAATACTTTCTACCCTTGTGGTCTTACTCTTTCAACTATTTCCTTTCCAAAAGCACCATTCATCAGGTCAGTATTCAGGCGAGCACATAAGACCGTTCTCACTGTCCTGACTGTTTCTCAGACGGATGTTATGGGGTTCATTTATAAATGAACCCCACTGGGTGGATGCTGTTCACACAGCACTAGCGCCCTTAGATGGAGCTGTCGAGTATAGGAATTTCTGATAGTTGTCAGCGTCGGTGGGAGGTTGCTGAAATTAAGATCCACATGCGTGACTAAGGATGGAGTATAGGTGAGTGATCCTGGCCCTTTGGGTGGCTGTATCCTGAAGAGCAGAGAACCCTCTTGTCACACGACCCATTACCCAATCAGAAACCAATTGGTATGCAGGTACATTAAAACGATGGAAGCCAAAGGAGCAGTATCTATTTTGGGAGCAAACCACCATTCATGCACTAGAATAAGAGGATGGGAAACTATTGCTTGTAACATACTCTTATCTTTGTCAAAACTGGACCCTATTGTGGCCTTTTGAGAAACAGTCGGGAGAGTAATAATTGATGTATGAAATTTCTCTGACCCCCATGAACTGTGTTAATGGAAAGGAAGGAATATTAAAGTGTAAGACCTTGGGAATGGACTGTATCCCTTTGCCAAGATTTCCATGTGTATTTTACAGATATTAGTGGAAAGTGTCGAATTAGGCTGGGTTCACACCTAGGCGGATTGAGTATGTGCGTTTGTCATGCGGTTCGCATCGCGCGTTTTTACCGCGATTCGTGGTTAAAAAAAACGTGCGACAAACGTGCGTTTCCGAGGGCTAGTTGGCTGTTTCCAAATTGAAACGCCCCAAAGAAGTACATGTACTTCTTTGGGCGTAGGGCGGTTTCCCGCGCGTTCGTACTCGCGGAAAAACGCCCAGATGGGAACCATGCACATTGAAAATAATGGCATTTCCCTGTTTGAGCGTTTTTCCGCGAGTACGAAAGCGCGGAAAAACGCCCAGGTGGGAACCGGGCCTAAGGTTTTGGTATAATGTGCACTAATGCTGTCAGGGATTCCTGACCAAATGTGCCAACCTTCCGGATTCTGTTGAAGGCCTTTGAAAAGGGACATGAAAAGATCAATGAAGATCAGATACATTTTACAGCAGTTGAGTTGTGGACATAACTAACTATCTCTGTGTCTGCCAGTCATTTTGGTATGTGGCTTTCACTGGAACTAGCTTGTTAATGCATTTTTTTGCCCATGCATCGTAACATGTATTTTTTTCCTGCTCAACTAAATTGAAAGCCACTAAATTGTATGAATGCTAAATATTTATTTCCCTTTTATTTTGTAGCGTTTCTTCCATGAGACTTGCCTACCAGGAGCTTCAGCTGGATAGGAAGAAAGAGGAGAAGAAGATGCAGAACCTTGAAGGGAAGAAACGGGAGCAGGCAGAACGTCTGGGCATGGGCATGACTTCCAGGAGGTATGTAAGTAATATACATTGGTCACTGTTGTCTCCTATAGCGGGGTCTGCTTATTAGGTACCCCCACCCCTAGATTAAAAAAAAAAAAAAGTAGAAAATATGTGCCTTACATGCGTGCTTCTGGCGTAAATTTGATGATCCCAAATCCTGTGAAAGAATGCACTCTTGAGAGGCACTATACTTTCTCAGTACAACATTACCAGTGTGCTCACCATGGTGAGAGTGGTCAGGAAGTAAGGTATTTTCTACTATTGTAATTAGGGATGCACCGATTTACTTCGATGCCAAGTATTTGGGCGAATACTCGTACTCGCCCAAATGCTCCGATGCCTAGCCCAATACTTTCGGGATCAGGAAGCCGGGCATTGAGTCATTACACGCTGCCCAGCTTCCTGATTGACGAGGGAGCATGTCGCCGGCTTCCCGGCCAACCAGGAAACTGGGCAGCGTGTAATGACTCACTGCCCGGCTTCCTTATTGGTCAGGAAGTTGGCCACTCAGGAAGCCGGGCGCTGTGTAATGACGTGGCACCTGGCTTTCCGAGTGGCCGGGAAGCCAGCTTCATGCTCCCTCGTCGCCTCATGATGAGGCAGCATGGAGCCGGCTTCCCAGCCAATCAGGAAGCCGGGCGCCTCGTCATTACCCGGCTTTCGGATTGGCCAGAAAGCTGGCTCCATGCTTGTCACCTAGTGACGAGAAGCATGGGGACGGCTTCCCTGCTAACACGCTGCCTGTCTCCCTTTTAATGGGACTTCCGGTATCGGTATTCGTTATCGCCGAGTACCGGGAAAAAAATATTGGTACTCGATACCGAAATACCAGAATCGGTGCATCCCTAATTGTAATATTTTTTTTTCTAACAGATTTTTTTTATCTAGACCGTGCCTTTGCAATAACTCTTTGATTGCCAAGGACATATCTCCACATCATGCCAGTCAAAGGTTTTCAATAAGCTCCTGGCTTTGTTCTCTATGCTCCTGGCTTTATATTTTAAAGTGATCTGCTTGACCACTTCTCCGTAGGAGCCCTTCCGAGCGGTCTTAAACCCCATGTACATAATGATATCTGACCTTGTGCAGGACATGGTAGACAGATCTGCATTATCTTAAACATAATCTTTAAACGTGTTATGGGGATTTGATGAGAGAGAGTGTTTAATGTATCTGAAAGCAGAACTAAACTTTGAAGAATGGAAGGGGTACTGGAGGGAGGGGCTGAGAGAATGGATGAAGTGGGGAGGATGATAGGTTGTAATGTAGGAGTGAGAGCATAGGTACAAGACTGTGAATGGGAGTGTATAGTTTTTTTTTTAATTTTGTTTTTTTTAATTTTTCTTTTTCTGCTATGTTTTCCTGTTATAACAGATATAATATCTATCATGGTGGCTTAGCTTAACACAGAAGTGATTAGAAATATTAGTTAATAAGCAATAATGGATAAGAGATAGTAGTTGAATGTAGCTGTCATTGGTACTTTTTTTCTTATTACGTATTTAATTGTATAAAGAAATTGTATATGATATTAAATAAATAAAAATGTATTCTTGGAAAAAAAACTTTGAAGAATGTATTGATGTATATTTACTTGGCTGAATGCTTGTTACAATATCCTTATCTCTGCACAGTTCTATCTCACACTCTGTCCTGTCTGAGATGCATGTGATCGAGCAGGAGACACCTGTTGCAACTAAATCATCACGATCTCAGCTTGACCTGTTGGAAGACTCCAGCTTCACCTCTGGACCGCCAAAGTATGTTATTGTGGTAGTTATCTACCTTCTGCTAGCATATGGTGCCATTCTGTTGCAGGTTTAGTGTATTCATTTACATTCTTATACACTTACCACCTTCCCTTCATAAGGGAGCAAGGTAGATATGTTACCAATTTTCATTTCTCTTTCATGTCTTCATGATTTAACTACATTTTGAAGTCCAATTTCTTTTTTATTAGATATAAAGACAACCCATTCTCGCTAGGAGAAGGCTTTAGCTCAAGATGGGAAACCGAAAACTCTACCTGGGGGACTGCAGATAAGGTTGAGGATGAGCGAGAGGTGACCATCTCCAGTATTCAGCCAGTACGAGACCGGTGAGTTTTCTCATCATATGTCATCTGGGAAGTATTTGGTTTACTCTAGTCATTTTATATTTTGTGTTCACGTTCAACTACAGTGCAGTCACATGTGTGCAGCAAACATATGACTTTATGTATGGACAAACGACACACTGCAAAGATCCCAATATACTCTTATGCAAAAAAACAACTTTAGTTCCTGAAGTCATATTTGACTCTGCCCTGCCTGTCACAAGAATGGATGGACCAGCATTGTGGTGCTTGAAGGGAGTGGGTCCAAGCACGAATTTCTACCTGCACATTAGAGCTCCTGGGGAGCTTTATAAGTTGTATGAAAATACATGGAGGTGTGCGTTTTGTTACGTCTGTTTTAAAAGTGCAAAAAAATGAACTTGATCCTGCAATAAATCTTGTGAGATGATAACTTCCTGTCCTCTGCCTCTGCTGCACATTCATCAATTAGCGTTGTTCCCAGTTCTTCCTGTAGACTACAGAACATCACCCCCCCCTATATTTTATGTTTGTATTAGTATTTTTTGTGCCCCTTAGTTGCATGTTGGACCTCTCACTATGTTGCTGTGTATCCCTGATAAGGCAAAATTACATGAAGGCAACCCCCCCTTCTACTGTCTGCTTGGCTCCACGCTGCAGATATTCACACAAATGGTCATTTAAACCACTCGTTAACAAACAATCATTTGAAAAGTTTAGCTAATGAATGTAGCTTATTTTCAATGGATTCTATCTGCACAATGCTCTGCTTCGTGCATTGGGACGATTATAAACTGTTGCAAAATTGGCATGTGTATGGCCAGGGTTGTAGTTCTAAGCTCTGCTTGATGTGCCCAGATAAAGGACCATGTAAAGCACAGGGAAGATGATTGTAGTGTTTTTAGGTTAATAGGTTGACTAATTTTAACTTGTTGCCTGGAGTTACTATTTAACCTCATGGGGACGGTTCAGCAGGAGGACCACGATTCCCTTCACTGACGTACAGTTCAGTAAGACGCTTTCTTTGGGGGAAGATGAACACATAAAAATCAATGGCAGTTCTGGGTCTGTAATGACCACAGCAATAATTTGTGAGCAATTATGTTGATTTTCTTATAAAGGTTGTCATTGCTGAGCTATCAAGTATTGTATTCTTCCAACTCAGGCCTGCAAACCGGAGAAAACCAGAGCCTACCCCAGCTCCAGAGTCCAATGAAGCACGCACAAAATTCGCCAGCGCCAAAGCCATCTCCTCAGACATGTTTTTTGGCAGAGAGCAGGATGCTGAGGTAAGTGCAGTGTACTCTAGTACATTACTTCTGCTAAGCACTGCATAATGTTCTCATGCAAACAGCTTTGAGCAGCTTCACTGAAGCCTTTACAGCAACCTTCAGCTCCAGTTTGGGGGGCACAGATCATGCCTGTAATTGCTGGCTGTCACTTTAACCCATATGTTGCCAATGGGGTGTGCCACATTTAATGATATTGAATCAGTTAAAACAAACTCATGGCTGCAATAGTGGCCATGAGCTTGCTTAGGGTCTGATCTGCTGGTTCCTGTCTACAACGTAAAAGTGATCAGAGCTGTAGTTCCCGTGATGTACTGCTCTCCGGGGGAGCCCAGGACCGCTATACATTTTTCAGGATGGCAAGCAGTGCTACTGGAGGACAGATCTGACACCAGATCTCTCCTCCATAGCGTGAACCCAGAAGTGTTTTGCTCTAAGCGCTCCCAGGTTCACAGCTGTCAAATGCTGAGAAGCTGTGACCAGGTAAACAGTAGATTGAGTACAGTTTTGTATTCTGTCTACTAAATACAGTTCAGGGGGAGACATTAGGGGTCTAATGGTGGGACGGCTTATCACATGGCCCCTGTGACAGCCAGTCATGTGGTCGCTGTGATTGGCTGTCACAGTGCGCACATAATTGGGAGCCCGTCCTCCTGTCAGGCTCCCAATCATTTTGTGTAAAAAAAACAAGTAATTATCTTGGCCTCCCCCATCAATGCATGTATAAAGTATGTCTGTCTATTTACAGTATTTTCTTTGCATGTAATTTGATTGCTGTACCAGCTCTGTCTTATCCATTCCTGTCCAGCGTGGACATTTTATTACTTGCACATTGCTTTCACCCTCTTCCAGGACAGTGATTCATTGATGCTGAAAACACCAGCCTTATGTCCTTGCCTGCGCTGGCTCTGCCTGAACGATGATATATTTGAATTTGCTCTGCATGACTGCCCCATTATTCCTCACACTGTATCTCATCCTGTAACCCTTCTGCTCGGCTCTGAACAGGCACCATTTATAATTCAGTGACGGATTATTGGCTCTGTGCTCCATTCCAAGAGCAGCCCCTCAAACTATAGCCGATTACATCATTCCAACATCATGGGCAAAAAAAATATGTAGCTCAAAAATAAGCTCTCAATTGACTGCTCAATGTTAAAACAATAAGGATCTAGGCATCCAGTCACTGGGGAGTTGTCACCCAGCAATGGGATCACTGGTGTAAGATGGACCCAATATTGTTTTGTCTGAGAAGCATTAATACTTAATGTTGCATGCATTTTTCATTTGATATCGACTTTTTTTTTGAGAGAACTATCACTTCACCATTCTAAATTGTGTGTGTTGTTCCCACTTTAAACTGTATCTGTCATCCAGGGATTCCTTCTCTCTATTTCTGTCGACCTTTTAACAGCAAGCTTGCAGGCCTCACAAGTTCATTTTTTGCCTTTGTGGCCTGAAGGTGGTCAGATCATGCCTTTTGAGTCCTACCACACTCGGGAGTCTTGGCAGCTTAAAGGGTTAGTACACCTTTAGTGCCCGTTTACACCATTCAGTGTGTCCAGGGCATGGTTGCCTGCCCTGAACACACACTGGATCGCATATTCAAAGCCTCTCCATTTTCTGGGGTGTGCATGCACTATTTTTTTTTAGCAATCGCACTGCACTGGAACCACAGGGCATTGTGGTACCACGCTTTCTATGTGGGTGATCGCACTTAGGGCGGGAGGCGTGTCTGTGGTACCATTGACATGAATGGTAGCACTAAACCCCCTCCTGCCCCAGAACGAGAGGAGGCTTTGAGTATGTGATGCAGTGTGTTCGCAGAACCATGCCTTAAACGCACTGGGTGGTGTAAATGGAGCCTAACGGCACATTTTAAAAGTCAGTCCCCGGCGCAGTGCACTCTGTCTCCCTCTGTAGCAGCGGCTGAGTGGAGAAGGCACTGCTTGAACCAACCAAAGCCTCCACAGGGGTCACACTTGTAGCATATGGTGCATTTTGAAGACGGGCCTCATACATCCTACAGGTATGGCCTGCTAAAGGAGCACCTTTCTTAACAGCTGAGCAGTGGTTTGCAATGTGCTGAGCATGCTGTATTGCGTCGGGGGTTGTGTAAAATGTGCTGTAAAGGTGAATGAACCCTCTAAAGTAAATCTGTGGCCAGGCTATCAAAATTTGGGTATTTATAGAATCTCAAGCAGTAAATGAGCATTAAAACAAGCTCTCGCTGACCTCTGTAGCTGCAGACACTTCAAAGTGCTCAGCAGACGCACTGAAGTCCTCCTGTGCACCTCCAGCAGCCTCTAAATGTAAATACAGAACACATGCTCTGGAAGGGAGGAGCAAGGTCAGCTGAGCTTCTGGGTCACTGTTTGGAGGGGGGAGCTAAAAAAAAGGACTTCTGTGATGCTGTTAACTTCTGAGGATGAATTACTGCACAGTGCCTGCAGCTACAGAGGACAGTGAGGGATTATTTTAAAGCTCATTTACGGTTTGTTGATATGTGAATAATTGTCTGTAGCCTGGCCACAGGTTCACTTTAAGGCCACCCCCAGATCTAATATGATCAACATTAAGTCGAAAGGGCAAAGATTTTGTTTTGGGCTTCCGGTGGCCAAAACAATTTTGAGGCACAATCAGAATGTGATCTTTAGCGTATTACTATAGTTTAGTTTTAAATGAGCCTGCTGGAGTCCTGAGTAACGCACAAGTTTGATTTTTAGTTATTTTAGATTCTATGGTGATATCTTGCCACTGGTCTGGTATTCATCTGGTCATGCGTGACTCACAATTTATAACTCCCTGTCTCTCCACAGTATGAAACTCGGTCCCGCCTGCAGCAGCTCTCCTCCAACAATGCCATCAGCTCGGCTGACCTCTTTGGAGATGCAGACTCTGTAAACGAAGCAGGTACGTTCTTCAATATACTCCACCTCATGTGTGTATGTCTCTGCTGCTCATAGGTACAAAGTTATAAAGTCATTTACCTGGGTCTAGCCTGTTTTGGGGCTTGTAGCAAGAGGAAGCCTGCCTCAATGTTGTGCTTCTGTGGGATCTAGATAAGATTACCAATTACACACTGAGCTGCAGCAAGTGTTTTTTATAACCTATAAGTTTATAATGATATTTATTCTGGTTGGAGATCTCCTTTTAGCTCAACCCTTTCAATCGATCTCTCTATGGATAAATACCATAGAGAAAATTACTATGGGAGACCTCCTCCACTGTCCACTTTTCCTTCGCATTTGCTAAAAGGTCTGAAAAAAATAAAAAATTGGTTCACATTCATAAAAATTGCATGGTATCTGTTATTGGGAAGCACAGAGTTTTCATTTCAAACACTGATCATTTAAATCTGTAAAACAACTAATAAATTGTCCTGATCTTTATTTTGCAGCTGGGGTCTCATTGGGGAACGTTCTGCCCTCTACTGACATCACACACTTTAAGCAGGGTGTGAAATCTGTTGCAGGCAAGATGGCTGTATTGGCAAACGGTGTCATGAACACCTTACAGGTAACACGAAGGGGCTTGTAATGGAATCTGTCAAGGCGGAGGTTACCTGCCACAGAAAAGGCTCTCATCCCGCTCTGGTTGCCATTGTCTCTTAGAAGCAGTCTTGGTTACTTTTAGGAGCACTATGTTGCTAAAAGTGTTTGTTTCACTGTAGAACAAACACTGTTGTCTGTGGGGGGTCAGACTATAGAAGTCTCCAGCACTAGTAGGGAACCTCAGCCATGAGGACAGGTATCCTTTTTATAAAAGTGTGGAAAGAGCAATGATGTACAACAAAGCAAGCACAATCCGCTGATATTGACTGATCTCATTGCTGTGGGTAACTGCATGGCACTGGCGCCATGTTGCTAAATAGCTGTACAATTTATTTCTTTTTCCTTAAAAACCTGTTACATCTCAGAGCAAAGTGTCTGTGTAAAGAGAGCACCATTCCTATCCTCGACCAACTTCTCTCCAGTGCTGCTCCTTCCGTTGCAGCGGCCACCAAAATTCAGACTGGCAGAGCCTATAGTGAGCTGCAATGTCACCCCCTCCATTATTTGGCCGCTTTCCCTGTATACTGCAACATGGGAAGGAGCCACATGCTTCTCCATACCCAGAAGCACTGCGTATTTTGTGCTGGCTGCAGTAGAGAGGTATTAGTGAGTTTTTCTTTACACACTGTACACTGTCACTTCGACCCAAAAGAGCAACGTGACAGTACTATTGTATTTTCAGTAATTAGTCATATTGGACCCTCTCTTTTCACAATTAAATCCTTCAAAAGTGTGGAAACTGAGTTTGTCAGGAAACAACAGAAAAGTTGCAGTTATTATTATTATTATTATTATTATACAGGATTTATATAGCGCCAATAGTTTGCACAGCGCTTTACAATATAAGGAAGACATTACAGTCACAATACAATTTAAGACAAGATGTCCCGTGAGGGCTTACACAAGAAGTATTATTTAGTGTCAGACACCCCAAGATAACACGACACACCATGGCAATATGGCATTCCCCATAGTGCCCCCCCCCAGCCCAGCCTCCCAGTTCCCTCCCTCCATCCCACTGACACACACACAGTGGCATTTGAGCTCCTCATACTTTTTGTGCAATTTGGCTTCACCTAGCATTCAGCATGGCACGCTACACTATTAGCCCAACCCTCTGTCCCACTCCCACTGTGGGGTACAGTTCATACAAATGGACTGCCAAGGCGTACACAAGTAAAAAATGTTGGGAGCCACTGTTTTAAACGAATCTAGAAATGTGGGAGCTGACTTGTTTTTAAATGTGCTTGTTCCAGGGCTTTGGGTTTTCTTCCATTACTGTTGGTTAACCATTGACCCTAAACATTTTTAAATATTAGGACACCTTGCTTGTTCCATGTCATTCTTGTTCCAAGTCAGTGACCTGCTAGGTAGTGAAGCAAGTGTCAGGATCCTGCATCTTCAAGATGAATGAATATGCATTTTCTTATCTGGAAAGGTTCCCTTTGAATCACACTGTGTTGCACGTCCAAGTAGAAAACCGTGCCGATTATCTGTAATAAATGAATACATTTTGTCTCGGTGTAGATATTTTTTGCCAAACCTTTGTGTTTCTTTTCAGTGTGTAGCCGTAACCATTTATACAAATGAAGTACTAAATCATTGTATGCTCTTTCCCAGGATCGATACAGCTCCTACTAAGTCATCAGGCAAGAACCTGGAGTCTACTGCTGTAGCATCTTACCCATTTACCCACCAGATAAGGGCTGGGAAATAGAGGGGCGAGACTGGGAGAGAGTGACCTGCGTCTCTCCAGCGGGTGGCGAATAACACCCCTTCTTCGGAGATGACCGCTTCAGTATTCCTCAAACGCCACCGGATCATTGTCCCCCCCCCTCCCACCTCTGCTGTTGCTTGTTCCCATCAGCTGCTCCCAACCTCTCCGGAGGATTTGCTGCTTCCCCTTCCTGCTAGGGACGCCCAGAGATTGTGCTTTTAATGTGTGTTCGTGTGAGATGATACATGGGGTGTGTTGTGAGGGACACTGATGTTGCTGCAGACAAGATGTATATGTAATATGAATGTGCGTAGTGGACAGGATGACAGTGGTGGCAGTGCGTGCAGTAGGGAGGGTTTTAGGAACCTCGTTCAGAAACTCTAATGACTGTTACTGTCTGGATGAGGCCTCTCCTCTCTCTTATTTGAGTGGAATCCTATCATGTGATTTATTAACCCCTTGTGTCCCGGCATTTCCTTTTTGTGTTTTTTATTCCTTTTCATCTGGACTATATTGGGGCACGGAGACTATGCAGGCCCTGACATGGCAGGTTAGGCACCAATGAGGCTGGTTGCATGACTATTTATTTTCACGTCTCTTGGCAGACCTGCGATTGCCGGTCACGTGTGAGGTAGGGGATGTAAATTGCCTTGAAAGCCACATACAGTGTTTTGCCAGATAAAAGTGAATAAAAAAAAATACTGAGGCTCAATGACTGTCTGTCTTTTTTTTTTCTTTGGTTGGGAAGCTAGAGTTGATGTGACAATTAGGGATTCACTGACACTAGTATCCGTGCCGATACCAAGTATTTGGGTGAGTAGTCGTACTTGCCAAATGCTCCGATACCTTCCCAGATACCGGACTTCCGGTCAGAGGGAGATTTCCACTGACCGGCAGTGCCGCGAGGGAACATGGAGCCAACTTCCTGGCCAATCGGGAAACCTTCCTGATTGGCCGGGAAGCCAATGAGCCTTGTGGCGACCCACCTCCCGGCTTCCTGATTGGCTCAATGTCGGGCAACCAGGAAGCTGAGTGGCATGTCATTACCCGCTGCCCGGCTTTCTGATTGGCCGGGAAGCTGGCTCGATGCTGATTGGCTGGGAAGCCTGCTTCCTGGCATATAGACATCGAGCCGGCCAAACAACATGGAGCTGGCTTCCCGGGGATTCAGGAAGCTGGGCGGCATATCATTACCCGCATCCCTGGTAAAAATATTCCAGTCCTGGGGTCTTTGTTTTAAGAGGGTCTCTGTGGTGTGCTTTCTTAGCTGGCTCAGCTAAAGCTGATAATGTCTAATAGGTCATCCCAGTTATACTTCGTGGAAGCCAAATGGCTATGCATCTGTATGGCCTACAGACATACAACCCATATATCTGTTTGAGAGCTGAGATTCTGTGAATGTGCAGCCGCTGCATGAATGCCCGCACTGATTACACACTATTTACTAGTCTGCCCAAAATAAGTCATTTATGCTGTATGCACAGAATGACCCTCCCGTCTTCATTCATTCTGAGGTCGTTCCGTGCGTGTGCTGCAGCCGCATGGATTACTTCATCAGGACCAACATGTAAGCGGTGTACAATCAGTGGCACCACCTGCTGATTATACACTGTTCAAATTGTTGGCCCTGAGCGGCGGAACCACATTGGGTACATTACTCTGTATGCATGTAATGTTAGCGCAAAAGCACAAAATATGGTTGAAATGCAGATTTTTCTGATCACCCTCATCAATTATGGACCTGAACGCAGCAAATCTTGTGCCCATGTGCATGAGTCCTAAGCCAGGAAAAAAAAAACCTTTACTGCCCTATAGGGAGAGCATACAAGCCGCCTGCTGCAAGCATTGCTGGAATCATAGGCATCACTTGTGGTAATTGGGGTGTTAATGATCACCCGATAGGTATTTATAGCACCTAATAATACAGAATGCATTACATCAGAGGTTTCCTAAACCAAAAGTAGAGCTGGAGCTGTTAACCTTGTCACCTGCTGATTGTCAATATCATTTTTGGTTTTGTGCTGAATGATGTGAAGGTTGAGTACAAGTGTGGGGACATGACAGCATAGTCCGCTGGTAACTCCATCCACAAATATCCTTACCTTGTGATAGACCTGGGGCTGGGGGAAGAGACTGATCCACTCAACCTAGTTGCAATACTTTGTAGGCTCAGGCTCAGCCTTTTTTTTTTTTTCCATTTAAAATTTTTGTTTTATTGAGCAAATTAAACAAAGAAAGTACATACAATGTACAGTGATCAAACATATCACATACCAAAAGAAAAACGACAAATAACATATCACTTTACATCTTCAAGTGAGCAACCTCCTAACTATGAGGTTGTTTGGTTAGGTCACTAGACATTGCAGGCAGGTACTCACAATTGGCAATTCCAGCGTAATCTAGTCTCATTGCTATGCAATAATAACATCTGGCATAAAGTGGGAGTCTGGACCCTACAAAGTGGTTGGCTTTGTTGATTAGCATAGTGATTAACAATGACAGGCTGAGCTTAGTGAGCATGGAGTCTGCAATTACTGCTCTTTCCTTCTGATAGTACTGGTTCCCTGGCTGTCATGCTGATCCATTGGCTTCTGTAGGTTTCATCTGTAGTGGTGTTCTGGGAGGTAATGTCCCCTCATTATTCCACAGTTAGTGTTCCCTTCTGCATTATTTGTTCCATTGTACAAGTGCTCTCCTCCTTCCTATATTCCTTCCCTATCAAGGGTGACCCCTTCTTATTTGTCCCATAGTAAGGCCTTGTTCCCACTGTGTACTGTACAGCAAGCTTTTAGCCGGCTTTAAGCAGCATTGTTTGGGACTTTAAAGCTCCAGCATGGAGATGAATTATACAGATCTTAATGGGAACACAGGTCGTCACCAGGGATGTGCGGGGGGCTTGGTGTGAACCCAGTTTGCTGGATTTCACCCAAGACTGTGCAAAACTGTGGCTGACACCTCCCGGCCCAATCAGTTGCGGCCCGGACATTCCCCGCTCCGCAGCTGCATGTCACAAAGGACCTTATTTTCTTGGCTCAAGTATACCATTTTGCATCAAATGTAAGCGTTTGTGTTTATATTAATTATGCAGCGGCCTGCTTTTTAAAGTAAACCGATGCTATCGCATTGCACCTTGTGGGACATGGAGATGATGCAGGTCCTGACATGGCTGGTTACATGAATGTTCATTATCATGTCTCTTGGCAGCCCTGCGATTGCCAGTCGCATGGGGTGTAAATTGTCTTAGGCGCCACATACAGTGTTTAACAGATAATGTTAATAATAAAACTTTTCATTTTGACTTTTGTATGCCATTTTGTTGTGTGAGGAGGGAAGAATGACAGGAAAAGTTGACTTGTAAAGATGGCGGATATGAAAACATTGCTCTATAGAGGGCTGCACAGTCCATTCCTGGGCGCCGGAATCCTCAGACATTTATAGGGTCTCTGTGGTGTGCCTTCCTACCTGGCTCATCTACTGGAGCAGAGAAGAGGATAAAGTCCTGTATAGGGTTTAACTACAGTTTTGGTTTTAATTTCGAATTAGAATGCCATTAACCCTTTTGTGGGCACGGCCGTATTTGCAGGTATGTGTAGAATACCATTGCTGACCTCCTTCTGAAAATACTGGTTGCCTGACTTCAATAGCTTGAGTCATTGACTCGGAACACATATGGGTCACTTGACATGGAGATCACTGGCAGCTTCTGCGTTTTATATTAGGAGTACAGAGAAATGTAAAGAACTATGGGGATCTGACATTTGGTGCAGTTATGCATGCCTGGTAGCTGGGAGACAGTGTGTTATCAGCGTTAGGTCAAACCTCAGTGAGCCCTTCCACATTTCTTGCCTTCCACTTTGTGCTTTACAAGAAATGTGATGTTCTGTCTGTGTTAACCTATTCACCAAGGTGGCTTTTGGTACATTATCTGTGAGGCTGACCCAGGGATGTATCTATGATAAATAGTGCCAATGGCAAACACAGAAAATGCGCCCTTGTCCAAACATCTGACGCCATAGTTCTGGCACACACAGAGTACAATGAGTACACTCCATTCAAGCCCCCGCATGGCAGCTTGGTGCAGTGCGCTGCTGTGCTGCGACCTGCAGTGGCATCCAGTGTGCTGTGATAAAAATACAGCATGTTTGCATTTTAATCGCAGTGCACCGCCCATCACACCGGCAATGTGGTGTGAATGGGACACATAGAGAACAAATGTTTTCTATGTGTCCTTGCATTGATCCGCTGTGGTACAATGCGGGTCACCACTAATGTGAATGGTCCCTTAAGCTGTGCCCCCTGCAGACTTCCCCTCGAAGTGACTGCAATGACAGACCATTCAATCACTGCTGTCAATTGTAAACAAGTAGCTGGTTATAGGAATGTCTACAATACTCACTTCCTCTGCCAGGCTTTGCATTAGATGATTTCATCAGTCAGAGCCCAGCAAATGAAGTGAGTTGTGTCACTTTGCCTGCTCCGGCTCTTTTTTTTACATGTGACAGCAGCAATTGACTGCGCCGTCTGACTCGTCGCAGCTGATAAACTCTGCTGGGGTACTTTCGTAACTATTCATATGCAGTCATCAATTGTGTTTTGTGCACTTTTGTTCCCATGTATTGTGCAAAATGAGAGAGAAATATTCAGAAGAGGGATTTTCCATGGTGCAGGACACTTTAAAAACAAACAAAATAGGGCGATATGGGCATTTTTCTAGGTTTACCATTGATTTCAGCTGGGCTAATGCCATCCTTCTTTGCAGTAGTCAGTTTTAATTGCTTGGGAGATTCATCCTCACTATTATTTATGATTGGAACAGGAATGGAGGGGAAATCCTACAAGGTTACACCCGGGATCTTTTTTTTTCTCACATTACAGAGATTTCCTTTTGTGAGTTTCAGAAAAGAAGTTAAGGAAAATCTGCCTGATAGGAGACAGACTGCAAAACACACACAAAAATACGCACAGGTGGGCCGTTTGACCGTTTCCTGTTCCATCCAAAACTAAACATGATGATATCATACATACTTTAAAATTGTATCCAAAGGTAAAAAAAGATTTTGCATTGGATAGAACGAGGATGGGTGAAAACGCTGTCATATTTTTTTTCCCACTGGAGATATTTGTCTTCACTTCCTGTCCCATAAATACAACAGGAAGCTAGGGGATATCTCTCCAGAAGTGGGAGAATTCCTGTCTTGGTTATCACCAAAACAAATGTCCCTATTGAAAGCTTTCCCCGTTATTCCTTGTTCAATGACAATGGTAAATTATGGATTTCCTATCACTCTCAGCCCAGTGCTAATGGTCAAATAGAGAAGGTAAACCTCACCAATGGGAACAGACAGAAATAGAAACCTAACAGGTTCTAACCATTTGTCACTCTACTAAAATAAAAATAGTTTTGCCTTTAGATACACCTTAAAGCCCAGTGACAAAGATTGTTTTAAAAGAATATTGGCCCCTAGAAGTTTTAAAAAGAAGTTACTCGGGCTGCAATATTCACTTTTGATCTGAAGTGTTTCCTTGCAGGACTCCTTTTTGGCCACAAGCTGTCCTCAATCTTCTAGGTTGAATGATGCTTAGTATTACTCAATACAGAGGCCTGCAGCGATATTATCAGGGTCATCCCTAATGAAGGGGAAGGTTGCCTCAGCCGGAATCTCATTGGGTTACTGTGGTGGTGGGGCAGAGCATCCCAGGTTGTGCTCTTGGCAAGCTGTAACACTCTAGCTGGCCTCCTGCCCAGCTCACTTTCATCACTGTTTGCCAGGTGCTGAGCGGGAAGTTTTGCCTGGCATCCCGCCCAACTCCTGGCAATCATGACATTAGTTTATTACCATCACTGCCAACCCCCCCACCCCTGCCTCAGAAAGCTATATGTCTAGAGACAGCCCTTATGATTGCAGAGTGTCATGGGCCTGCCCTCTGATGGTGCGACACCACAGCGCCTTCATTCACCATATACTAATGCAAGGGGTGGCGCTGATCTCATCAAGTCAGCGCCGACAAGGGAATACATTGGATTTCTAGAAATTAATTTTTATACAGTTAAGAATTCACATTCTACAGCAGGAATAAAGAATAGTATGAATGGGCCCCTTCACTTGATTCATCATGGAGGTTGGGAAATGTCCCTAGTATCAGACATTTTAAGATGTATTGCTATGGGTGATGCACATATTTCTTTCTTCCAGTTTTGGTAAATAAGACCAATAGGGTTTGCTCCGATAAATGTAACATCATTTTAATCCATGATAAAACCAGACGCAATGGAAGAAAATCTTTTAAATTAGCTACTTTATATGAAGCAATCTGAACTGCATTCGTACATCAGATAGAGAAGTGTTCAAGGCATATCACTGACATACCGCAAATGTTCTTAAAAGTCTCTGTATAACAAACTTTACAGTAGCTTCAGTCCATTTCCATGTGTAGGGACCTATTTTTTTGGTTAGTGGGATTAGGGGATACTTGCTTGTCCCTGTATTAGTTCTGGAAGTAGGCCTGTATTTCTCATAGTAACAAGACAGAGCGCCAGACCAATGGGAGTGTTTTTTTAATTGAAAATAGGATGTTAACAGACTCCAATAGTGTACTCTATCATTATTCTTTACTAAAATAAAGGTACTTGACTTGTCTGAAAAGGGATCAGTTGTTCAGGTGTACCTTGCCATACCGTGATGTCTATATACAGTCATAGCTGGCAATGTGGCAATACTGTCAACAATGAATGACGGCCATTATACTTTGATCCTCTTTAGAGAGTAAAGGAGCAGGCTTCACTCAAATTGGAGAACGACTGTACAGAGAAGTGCCTCTGCTCGCTGGAAGCCCAAATGATATCTTACGGGGACCCCATTGCTGCAGATGTTCCTCAAACTGGGAGCATCACTTGGAATTACTGGCCTTTTTGTGCTTGCCACTATCCCAACGCTCTTGAAGATAGACAGAGTTCTCTTCTTTAATTGGTAATCCTGAGCAAGGGTTTAAATCTGATCTCCAAAGTTACTCCCACAGGGGGCTTCCCCCCACACTGCAAGGGCTAAATGCAATTTTTTTTCTCTGGCACGCTTACCTTTTCCCTTGCTCCCGTAGGCTTCCTATTAGCCATGTGACCGGTCCCCCCAAAGCAGCTCCATTGGTCACAGGCACTCCAATGTCATTGAGCACAATGCAGGACCAGCAGTCCTGCATTATAGCTGAGGACGCCAAGGGACTGCCCACAACCTGGAATCTTAAAGAGAAGAGGAGAGTGCCCGCTGCCAGGGGAGCGAGGGATAAGGTATGTAAAACTGCTTTTTAATGTGCCACTAGAGGACAAGGAGCATTTAACCCTAACACTGCAGGGTGAGCCTCACTGCAAGGTTAACTTTGGATTTTAATTCAGCTTTGAAGACCTGAAAACCCACCAAGTCATAGGAAACCGATGCTGAGCAAAATGCAGAAGCTGTTGCTGGTGCCTTCTTGACGTCTAAAAAAACAAAAACCTAGTTTGCTGATTTTGTCTTTTGGCTTTATTCATCTCGGAGTTACTGACCTGAAACAAGTTTTGGAAAATCAAAATGCCTGATTTGCATTCTTAATATGGTTAAGGAACCACTGCGCTAGGACTCGATATTTAATTGATTAAAAAGGGGGCCAGCAGCAACTCTGTATGGGTGTGTATCTAGTGTGGCAAGTAAGTTGCGCTTAGTCAATGTGAGTGTGAATAATAAGGTGAAACAGAAAACCACAACTACTGGATCAACAGACCTTATCGTCTCTATGAAAAAAACAAAACAAAAACGAAAAAATAACACTCAATCTCAAATGTGCGAAAAAACCCCAGGACCTTCTGATATTTTCACAAATAATATTGTTCACAGTTTAACTGGTGACTGTAACAAAGTTAAACTAAGTTAATTATCACTGTTTAGGTTATTGTATCACTTCTTCATTATTGGATTAGATTTACACATGCCAGTTTCTTAGATCCACAGGTTGTATAAGGAATTAAGTCCTGATTTGGTTATAACAGATGGTCTGGGCTACAGCTTGAGCCCGGAACGTCTGTCACATATATATTCACAGAACACTGTGACCCGTTTTGATTAGTGTTCATGCATCACATGAATTAATGATTTCTGGCGCTCACTTATGAATTGTTTATAGCTTGCCTCTGTCCTAAGAGAGAATTCACAGTTTTTTCGCACATTTGAGATTGAGTGTTGTTTTTTCGTTTTTTTTGTTTTGTTTTTTTCATAGAGAGGATAAGGTCTGTTGATCCAGTAGTTGTGGTTTTCTGTTTCACCTTATTATTCACACTCGCATTGACCAAGCGCAACTTACTTGCCACACTTGATTTGCATTCTTGCTTCAGGTCAGTCATCAAAGTGTTAAAGCCTCTGAATTCACGTGAAAGCCAGCTAACTGGAATCTTTAGGAGATAATCGCCATGATTTTTTTTTCAGTTTCTCCAGGCGTATGGAAACATGTTATACTTCTCCCAGAGTGCACACTGAGCTGAGCGATAGTCTTTCTCCACGGACAGAGATGTGGACAATAGTGCCGTTCCATTGGGGTACTCCGGCCATTCAGGCAGCATGCGTCCTGTAAAAATAAAGAGTACATGAAAGCCAATCTAGGTCCTCCCCAAAATTTTACTGCTTACATGCCAACACTTCTAACCTAAAAGAGAAAAAGAGCTCAGGTAAGCAGTAAGTCTACACTTCTGAACATGTGGGCTCTAAGTATCTGAATGCACAGGTTGTGCACGGTCAGACGGAGCCAGTTTATCCTCATGGCAACCTAGCCAGGAGCCTAGAATCCCTGGCAGATTCTCTTACAGTAAACTAGGGGGATTACAAAACTGGTCAAAGTTGTGCTCCTGTCTGTCACTTCACAGTTGGTGATTGATGGGGCCATGTCAGTACGGACAATGCAATTGAGGTAGCTTCTCTGCGCCTATTGGAATCCATATTAGTTAAAGAAATGAGAGGGCCATGACTGTTGCCTTGCCTAAGGCCCCATTGTGCCTTTATGCGTCTCTGGCAAGGGAGCATAAACCTTCAAAAACAAGTCGGCAATGGCTGCTTTCATGATTCTACCCTGACGAGTTCCTTTCAATTACGCTGTTCCAAAACATCCTCAAATATTTAGAAAATGACAATTCCTACCTTCCCCTTTCAGATGGTATTGTCCAACACTATGGGTGCTCTTTAGGCTTGTGTCTAATATGCCCAAATTGTGTCCCAGTGTGACATCCCTAGGCAAAACATAACCCATGTTATACACTTTTCAAGAGCCGAATTTCCTGAAAAGCTGACTGCAATACACCTCAACTCTGAAAAATGTGTAGGCTGCCATAGCTGACCTTTCCTTCTGAAAATGCTAATTTCTCTATTCTGCTGATCTGCTGGTTTTAGCACCTTCAGTTCTAAGATGTTGATCCAGAACAAGTATGCAGATCAGGAACTTAGACTTCACTGACCCACACTGCCACAGAAATGTGCCAGCTGTTGGCTCAAAGTATTGAAATCGAGACAGTCAGACAAATATTTTCAGCAATGTTGGCCTTCACACTTTATTATCTGTAAACTACTACAGTTGGGGATGCTGCCGCTTATACCCAATGTGTGAACTAAGCTGGCCTTCAGCTACTGAGGGACAACATCCCTGAGGCTTGTTCTTACCTTCTTTAGCAAAGTAAATAAAGTGTTTTCTGATCAGCCTTTGAAAGTCCCGATCGGCTTCTGTGGTCTCTCCAAGAGAGTAATCCAGAGTTCCAAAAAATCCCAGAGTATCCAGCATATGAAAAGAGAACCAGCTCTCATAGGAGAAGAGGTTATTGACTCTAACTGGCCGAGATGGATTGTAGGTGACCTGATAGCGGTAGACGGGGCTGGACAATGCAGCTGCAATTACAGAGCAATGAATGGTCATCAGTCACATAGAACAGTTCAGTTTTTCATTCTAATATGTGTTATCTGGTGACCTTTTCGGGGGGGACATTACATGGGGTTTTCAGTGAAAAGTTTCTTCTATACTTTAAATGTCCCGTTGAGTTTAACTGGAATTGCAAAACTAGATATGCAATCAGATAGACAGTGTACTAACAATCTCCATTTTCCTGGTCTTACCTCCACTTTCCTGTTACAGCAGTTGTAACTCTAAATATGAATGTGCAGTCCAAGAGGCACTAGAGTGTGACCCAGTGCTCTCAGTAACCAGAAATCGGTAACATTTCTGGTCAGAACCCCCCCACCCCCACCTCTCTCTTAGGACACTTGACCAGGGGTAATTATTACTCGGCTGTGCCAGCAGGAAGCACTGCAGTGGGAGGGGAGGAAGTAGCATTTTCATTAAGCAATATTAGTCCCAAATCCATGTAGGGGGTACAGCAACATAAAAAGCTGAAAAGGTGCGAGAGTTTTCAATTGGACTTTAATGCATTTCTCCAGTTAATTTTCTTTTAAGGATACCTGGGAAGGGTTAAATCCTTTTGCTGTCTATGTCCTTGTTGGGTAGGGTCAATTCCTGTCCTTGGGACAACATATCACCAGTGCAGAAAGTAAGGCCTGGTTCACACCTGGGCGTTTTGCAGCGCGTTCCTAAGCTCTGTAAAACGCTCAACATGTGAAAACCAATGATTGCCTATGGGCATGGTTCCCACCTGGGCGTTTTACAGCGAGTAGGAACGCGCTGCAAAACGCCCCACACCCAAAGAAGTACAAGAGCTTCTTTGGGGCGTATTTGACGCGTGTATCCATTGGGATACAGCCAGGATGCCCTCGGAAACGCGCGTTTGTCGTGCGGTTTTTACCGCGTGGCACAAAATGCGCGACAAACACGCATATTCATTACGCCTAGGTGTGAACCCAGCCTAAGGGACACAGCAGTATAAATAAACTACATGGGCAGAAAACAATTTGCCCATTTTGTAAACAGAGGTAATAGAATTCCCAGAGAGAGGATATACATGTACCTGCTGCTTGTTTGGCCAACTCGTTGTTGGGACAGGAGGCTCTCAGGTCGGACACCATAGTCATGTAAGTCTTCTCCACACATCTCTCAGGTTGGGTGCAGAACTCCAAGGTGCGATAGAGATTCAGAGCTTCGTCTGCCAGACTTGCCCCAAATGTGTTCAGACGTACTGAGAAGAATATTACACAAGTCATCCTATATAAGTATGATTGGAGATTCATGTAAAGTTTAGAATTCAATCGGTGGGAGAACACTCACATTTTACAAACCAGCGATAATCCTCCTCAGTCCACTTGGACAGGTTGGCAAAGAACGGGCTGTGAAGAGAAAAGCGACATTAATAAGTACATTGGAACATGAGATGCACAGTTAGTATATAGCTATAGCTGAAAAGTGAATTTGGCAAGGCAGTGTAACATCCCATCTCGCCTGCCCGCTCCACCTGCTTTACTCCTTGTAGAAAGGCAGTGGAAATTAGAGAGCAGCTTGTTTCCATCAGCATCCAGGCAGATGTAATTCTCCTTAGAGTGCATTTCCACTTTTGCAGTCAAATTTGGGTACCTCCCCCCTATATGTTTGTTGTGTGTTCCAACTCACACAGCATAATGCTAAAAAAAAAATTTTAAAGTCTGTTTTTTTACCTTTTTGTAGAGGTTTTGATGCAACAGGCAACATGGCTGAATACAAGTTTTTTTGTCTGAGCACCCTCACCGTGATCTGTCCTTTATAGAAAGACTTGGGACTCAAATTTGTGGATTGTGTTTCTCTCATTAACATGACAAAGCAAAGCAAAGCCCTTACCCCCTACAACTCCTCCTGACATTACAAAGAAGAAGATAGAAATGTTGACCCTTAAGAAGCCCTGACCAAAGTAAAAACAATTATTTTTTACAATTTATTATATATAATATCATAAAGTGCAAGAAGCATTTTTAAAAATGTTTTTAGGTTATGATATGTGAATGTGAACATGTAACAAATATAAGCAGGTGTTGTCCCAATTTAGCTGCAAAAGTGAAACTATATTATTTACAAATCTCAACACCCTTTTCTCAGTTTTTAGTATGTTTTTTCTGTGTTTTAACTTCCACCCTACCCCCCCCCTTCCTCACAAACATAGGCATGGTCTTTATATATAACACACACACACACACACACACACACACACACCATGGCCATCTTGCTGCCATACTTGCTTTCCTAAAAGGGCCACCAGCTGGAGCCCACAATTGCAAACCTTTTATATCCATGATGCAACTTGACAGGTTTGCCATTAGTAAATGTTGGGGTTACCATCTGTTCTTTCCCAGGGAGAAGCCAGGGACACAGGCTTAACAAGACGGCCATTAAACCTCACCATTGTAGACATTTTTGTGTCTGCTTTCCCACTTCATAGGGATTACCTGCACCACCTTATAATTGCTGCTGGCTATGTGGAGGAGCAGAAGGGAACAGAGCTTCTTTTATCCAGGTTGGGTATTGGTAAGCACAGGGTCAAAATGGGGAGCATTCCTGAGGGCCCAGGAGAGGCCAAGTCCAGCCCTGCCTCCAAGCAGTAAAATTGATTAGCCTGGTTTACCAAGCCTGTGCTTTGCTCATGCAGGTTTAAGTAACAGATGCACTTTAAATTTGGCCCATACTTGTCTGCCATTGACCTCCCACTACTCCCTTTAGCTGCCTGGAGTGAGAAAAAGTCTTGTGTAGGCTCCAAGTTACAACTCCGAGCTTACACAAGGCTAAAAACTCTTTCTCCAAGTCCCCATGTGACAGTGTTACCAAATCACTATGGATAGGTGCTGTCCTGTGGACGAAAGTTTGCCCAGGTGGTGTTGCATGTTCATGTGAATGCCAATTTATGGCATGAAGCTGAGAATGGTAATCCTTTGTACAAACTGTGCATGTGCCAACTCTCTGGGAGAAGGAAATTTTGCAAGAACATTGGCATATACAGTACATATACAGAAATCTAACCCAAGTATGAAAGGGCTAGTTGGTTGTGTTTTCCTCCCGGGCCAAAGGAACCCGATCTTCTCCTGAACCTTGTCACTGAATTCAAGAAATAGTAATTGTCTTACGCAAACTCTGTTTCTTGCAGGGTGGTACCAATCACATATGGCACATCACTGTAGCCTTCCTTCTTCTTCTTCTTCCATATATCCAGTGGGGGAGATGGCACCACATATCCGTCTACTACAGTCAATGGACCAACAAATTTTCCCTTTTGTGGCAAGTCACACAGGTCTTCTGCTGCCCATTCTGGGTATTCCTCCCAAGGGATTGACTAGAAGTGACACAGGTTATATTATATCACTCAGACAGCTACATTTCCATCAGATAAGCTGTTTCAATCTGAAAGTAAACCCTCCATGTCTATGTTCTGGGTGTAGGTCACTTGTATTATACTGAAAAGGGCACCTTTTATCTATGTCTAGTAAAGTGGGCTAGGAACATTCTTTAAGTGTAGCTGACATTATTACCATTATTAATATATATTAGCACTGCTGCCCCTAAAGAGGTAACATAGTGACAATACTCTTCATAGCCAAACGTTGGTGGTCACCAGACCGTCACAACTCTGAGCTTGTTGGATGTCCCATGACTCCCATTCTAAAATCATGGGGTTGTCTCACTCCTACCCATCCCCATTTGCGGTGATAACAGCTTCCTCTTTTCTGAGAATGCTGTCCACAAGATGTTGGTATGTGTCTGTGGGAATTTGTGCCATTGAGCCAAAAAAAAGGTCAGGCATTGATTTTGGATGAGAAGACCTAGCTCCTGCCATGCAAATGGAATCTCAACTCATTACAAAGGTGTTCAAAGGGGTTGAGGTCTGGGCTCTGTGCAGGTCACTGCAGTTCCTTAAAAAAACAACAACTCATGACCATGTCTTTATGCGCCTGATTTTGAGGACGGTCATGCTGGAAGAGCAAAGAGCCTTAATCAGGCTGTTGCCACAAGGTTGATGGTGCACAGTTGTCTATTATGTCTATGGTGTAGCATTACCAGTACCTTTAACCTGAACTCAGTCATTTGGAGGGAAGTCAACATATTTCAGCCATATACAGTGGAATATTTTAAATGTTTTACTATGTGATAACATTAACAGTACCTTTCGCTGGAAAAACCTAGGGAGGTATCCACATTCTTGCCATATAGTAAGTGTGATGTTCAGGCATCCACAAACTTTTGGTAATATGATGCATCTCATCAGTTACACTAATAGCCTACCCTTCTTGGGACAATGGAGTAAATTCAATGAACACTAAGCCCTTTCTGCTCATTGACTGAACTTCTCAGCTGTGGGTGAGACTTACTTGAAGGATCTTGGTTATGTTCAGCTGCCTCAAACACTCTGCATCTTTGCATCCGGTCTTCTTCAGGAAAACCAGGTTGTCCTTTTCTGCCTCAGCCATGGTGGCCTCAAACTCAGATGATCCACTGATATCAATGGCTCGATGAAAAAGACCCTTGGCCAAAGGGGACACCATCATAGTCCAGACTGAAGTTCCTCCTTCATTAATAAGCGCATTCATATGAGGATATCACGAAACAAAACATAACTAGGGTACATTTTTCATAATGGTGTCTGCTATAAGTTTTACTATCATTTAATATTAATAATGAAGATGATATTTTAATTATTATGTCTGTTTTTAAAAGGACTATTGTCTCTAGATGCTTTTATGCAACAGAGCTCCAAAAGCATATGCGCATAATTGTATATACGTGTATAAGTAAAAAGTCTATAACAAAACAACCTAAGATAGTGTAACTCTACATGACAGCATTGGTTTGAAGTAGTTAACATTGTGCCCTTAGGGCGCTGAAGTCCTGGGTTTAATTAATGAGGAAGTGAGGAACACTTAGCAAATATTTAGCGTTTGGTTTTTCCTAAAGCATATACAAACATTCTCCTAACGCTTGGATATGGTTCCTCCAACAATGGAAAGAAAATAAGTGAACTGGCTTCTGTCTACATAAGCCCCCCTATGTGCATGCCTGTACTTGGAGGGATACAGGAAGTAAATCTAAAAAGGTAAAACACTGTTTCATGTGGTATTGATTTCATAGTGGCACACTGTTCTCACCTGAGCTTTGGCCGTAAATCGTCACCTTGTTTGGGTCACCACCAAAATATTGGATGTTCTTCTGCACCCATTTTAGAGCAGCCAACTGATCCATTAATCCATAATTTCCTGCAAGTCAATGATTGAGAAACAGATTATTCTCAAGTGCTTAAAGTTAACCTCGACAGGACTGGCATGTCCATGCTGACAGAACAGGTTGACAGGCTACCCCTGCACTGCATAAGTTAACTGCTCATTTTGGTCTAGAGGATGGTTTAAAGAAGATGTACTTGTCTGATCCTCAATCCCACTGGACTGCTAGACTAGTCCCTGTAGCTTCTTCTCCCCCAGGCTCCAGTGGTCTAAGCCCCGCTAATGTCATCGTGTCTATGCAAGATCCATTCACTTGCATTAGACAGGCGGATGCTGAGGGACACAGCGATAGCGGAGGGCCAGAGAGTTAATCACTGACTGCTGCAGGACCGAGCATCAGGTGAGTACATTTTTTGTATTCTGACCCCCAGACTGTAAAAAACAGTTACCCAGTTACCCTTGCAAGGGGGAGGGGGTAGCCCCACTGCAAGGGTTAATTTTTGCACATCTTGGAGTTCTGCTTTACCACTGGAGGCCAGCAACATTGTATAAGGCAGTGGCACCCACTTTCCCAACTAGTCTCGAGTCGGCTACCACTTGTGTGGATCACAAGGAAAGGACCTTTAACCCTCTAACATCGATGATCTTTACTTGCCAATAAATAATGCTCCCAAAGGTAATATTTGTAATGGTGCAAACGACAAATAGAAGTTATGTGGCACGAATGCATAATCTGAACCGGGCACCCAGCAGCCCGTATATAAAAGCTTTTAAAGCTCCCATTAAGTGTTTTGATTAAAACAAGTAAGACAAATAGTTTTGTTTTCTCTATAATATGCACATCTATACTTGCAGGGAGCAGAAGTTGTGATTGGGCCCCTTTTGTCCCAGTTCCACCTTAGCACTGATGTAGCTTCACCCTAGCCCCTTATGCACTTTGCCTAGGAAACTGATAGCTGCACCCCTGTCTCTATAATGATAGCAGGCAATGGAAATGGCATTTAGTAATTCTCCACTGTTAAAAATGTGGGATTTCAATACTGACAGATGAAAGTTCCATGCTTGCTTTGTGCTCTAGTTACCAGAGGTGTTGGTGGGAGATCCTTCTCGAAGTTCAGCCAAAGCCAGGAATCCAAACGCATTAAGACGGTAGTTGAAGCTGATGTGGACTATTTGGCTATGCCTAACTAGGTCTTCATTTGGACAATAGCCAGGCTCTGACCCACTGGCAATTAAAAGGTAGCCTCCGTGGATCCAAACCATGACTGGCAACTTGGCTTCATGATCCAGTGATGGTGTCCACACATTCACGTACAGGCAATCTTCTGAGCCCATCACTGTTCCCGTTTCACTTAAAGGCCTCACTTGGGCACACATGGACTTGAACTCTGTGGCACTGAGAGTGTCATTCCAGCAGGTGGGCTCCACAGGAGGCCTCCAACGCAATGGCCCAGTGGGGGGACTGGCATAAGGAATCCCTTTAAATGTATAAACATGGTCAGAATGATGACCACGAACCTTTCCACATGATGTTGATACATCTACTAGTGTACATCCTGATTTTCCAGACAGATAAGCAAAACCAGCTGCCAGCAAGCAGAGCAATATAATCCCAACACCTATAGCTGCCATTGTCTTGTAGCTTGGGAAGCTCCAGAAAGAGTCAACTGTGTCAAAGTCCTTCTCCAAAAATAATACTTCTCCTTCCTCCTCAGAGTCCACCAGGTGCTTATACTCCGAATGGGAGCCTTGCTCTCCCCGAGTATTCCCAACCCTGTCAAGGAAACAGAGAAATGTTTCAATACTTCCAGCAGCCTACAAGTATGGGTATAACTGGTATAACTGGTAGGCTAATTAGACAACTAAGGCTGGCCTTAGATTAACTTTTTTTTGTCCCATTGCAAGATGATTGGCTGAGGAGAGCAAAGCTAAACAGTCACTCTGATTATGTGACACAGATCCCTTTAAAAAAAATGAATTAGGACATTGATAAAAATCTTTACACCAATTATTCAATGTGTGAGGGTGTTAGCTCTGTGGCGGGTATTTGTGACTCCCTGGATGAGTTCACTACACAGTAAATAGGCACAGCAAGCAACGATTTCTTGAGGTGAAAACACACGTGCAGTTTATTCAAAAGCAAAAAACAAAACAAAACAAAAAAAAACCCAAGATAAACCCTTACCTCTCGGCGACTTACTACACACACACTATTTCCCTCACTATCAACTAGGTGCAACCTTGTGCTGCCCCTAGCTCCTATCTCCCTATTGAACAAACTGCCACACAGGCGGCGTCTCACCATACAGGTAGGTACAAAGCTCCCCAGTCCACTGGGGCACAGAAACTAGTTCCAGGGTGGATCAACTCCCTGAGCAGGCTGGGAGTTCCTATAGAGGCCATAATGAGCCAGCTAGCTCCAGCTGAGCTAATTACTTCTACCACTCAAGCACGTCCAGTTTCCTCCTTAATGGAAAAAATCAGTATATAGTCTGAGGGCAGGTTCACACCATTTTCTGGACCAAATCTGGAGCGTAGTGCATTGCGTTTTTGCCGCGTTACGGAGCTTTTGATTTTTTTTCCTCTTTTCTTCCCCAGTCTTCTGACATTGGCCATGTTTACTAAGGACAGAATACTAGCTCTCCTATTACTTCCTGGAACTCTGGCACATGTGACTAGGACATGTGACCATGCACATCATCTCAGGGGAGGAAAATGCCTTTCCCTGAGATCTCGTGAAATTTCCCAGCAATGCTTTACTGATGTAACCTACCCAGGATGCAACACTTGGGCACCCATGAAGTGGGGGGAGGGGGTCGGGAATAAATTGTAGGTAAAATATGAATATGTTTGTGCAGCTAATGAATGTGAGATGATTTCATATCAGCAAGCAGAGCTGTATGCTGATGTGACTTATTTTTTAGTCAAAGGGGTAAAGGTCCGCTTCAATAAACAAATGGGCAAAGATAATAAAACTAACAAACATCATACACAGAGAACTCCGTCCTCTAAGTCCTGCATCTTGGTTGGGGTTCATCTGAGAGAGTACTTTGGCTACGGCTCAGTCCTTTTTATAATACAACACCCCGCTAATACTGAGTAACACCCAAGTTGGCAGCACGGTGGCGTAGCAGTTAACACTTCTGCCTTGCAGGTCACTATCTGGAAGGAGTTTGCATGCTCTCCCTGTGCTTGCCTGGGTTTCCTCCAGGTACTCCGGGTTCCTCCCACATTCTGCTAGATGTAACTAGTGGTAGGTTAACTACTTGTTTTTGTCTAGGACAGTGGCGTAACAATCGCCATAGCGACCCAGGCGGCCGCTTTGGGGGGCTTTGGGGGGCATCGCCTGGGTCGTTTTGGCATATCACTGTGCTGGCTGTCACTGTCAGCTGTGAAGAGGCGCTGCTGTTAGATCACTGACAACCTGTCAGTGATGTGTGCAGCGGCGCGTTCTTCCACACAGCTGCTGCTGAGCTGTGTCAGTGACAGCCAGCAGCTGCTGCAGAAGAGGCTGGACCCAGCGTTTGCAGTGAAGGAGGGGGCGGGGTCTGGCCTGACGACCGAAGAGCAGGAGGGGCCAGTGATGTAAGAGGAGGCGGGGCCCATCGATAGAAGAGGAGACGGGGCCCGGCGATGGAAGAGGAGGCAGCGCCTAGGGACGTAAGAGGAGGCAGAGCCCGGCGACCACGGAGGCGGACATCGCTGACTGGTAAGAGGTGTGCAGCCCACCTGAGACCCTGCAGAACCCACCATAGAGAGCCTATGGTGGGCTCTGCAGGGTCACTCTCAGGTGGGCTGTTTGGTATATCAGGTGGGCTCTGCAAGGGGCATAACTAGAAATCACAGAGCCACATACAAAATTTTGCTATGGGGCCCTGTGATTTCTAGTTACGCCCCTGGTCTAAGGTATTATTAAAAACCAGATTTACTTACCTCATCCCTCTCTTCACTGACATCGAATCTCTCTTTAAGAAGAAGAACTGTACCTGGCATTCACAAGCTGTGAGACAAACACTGGAAATGAAGTCTTACCACAGCTCTTGCATAACCCGTATCGCATCCTTGTGCAGAAGGAAGGCATTTCTCTGGGTGTGTCTTTCCGAAGGCAAAATGCCCGCACCGAATACCAGCTGAACATTTCTGATCTGTATCAGAGTCTATGTACAGTAGCTGGCAAAATACATTAACATAAGCAAGTGGGTATGTTGCGCTTGGTAAGTGAATCTATTTGGTTTTACGGTGAATAGTGAAAATAGTCACAGTATGGTTCCGTGGTGATTAGTCCAATGTGAAAAATTATTCTGCAAATATGTGAAGTGAATATAAAGGCTTCTCCTCCGATTAACCTGTC